AAAAAAAAAAAAGAAAAGAAAAAGAAAAAATAACTGGGCCTTATGGAGGGTGCCTGTAATCCAAGCTCTTTGGGAGGCTGAGGTAAGAGAACCCCTTAAGCCCAAGAGTTTGAGGTTGCTGTGAGCTGTCATGCCATGGCACTCTACCGAGGGCAACATAGGAAGGCTCTGTCAAAAAGACTTCCTTTGCTTCATTATATTGCGTTCACTCATGCCAAATGTATGTTGACTATATTTTTGTTGGTCCATTTGGGGACTCTTTATTCTCTTCCACTGATCTATTTGTCCATCCTTCCACTGATTATTGCAATTTTTGGTTTTTGTATGAGACAAGGTCTCACTCTGTTATCCTGGCTAGAATACAGTGGCATTATCATAGCTCACTGCAACCTCAATCTCCCAGGTTTAAGAGATCCTCTCCAGTAGCTGGGATTCCAGGTGTATACTACCATGCTTGGTTAACATTTTTAATATTTTGTAGAGATAAGGTCTCCCTGTTGTCCAGGCTAGTCTCAGCCTCCCGGCCTCAAGCAACCCTCCCAGTTAAGCCTTCCAAAGTGCTAGGATTATAGGAGTGACACACTGTGTCAGGCCTTGATAGCTATTTCATCAGTAAAGGCTCTCTTATCCCACTGGCTTGGCTACCCCACCCTATATAAAGTAGGTACAAATGAGACTTGAAAATCTTTTTGAATACAACTACCAAGACAACTTCCTATGCGAAATGTATTTAGCATATTTGAGCACCTAAGAGGAATGGTATCAATTTGTGGGAAACTAGAAATCAAATTTTCTATATGCATCAAACTCATCACTGCACCTATGTCTGTTACTTCCAAGTTTCTTTCTTTCTTTTTTTTTTTAAATACAGGCAGGATCTCATTATCCTGCCCAGGCTGGTCTCAAACTCTTGGTCTCAAGCAATTTCCCCACTTCAGCCTCGGAAGTGCTGGGATTACAGGTATGATCCACCTCGCCCAGCCTACAGCTTAATTATAATATAGCAGTTTGGGGTTTTTTGTTTGTTTTAAGACAGAATCTCACTATGGCGCCCTCAGTAAAATACCATGGCATCACAGCTCACAGCGACCTCAAACTCTTGGGCTTAAGTAGTTCTCTTGCCTCAGCCTCCCAAGTAGCTGGGACTATAGGCACCCACCACAACACCTGGCTATTTTTGTTGTTGTTGCAGCTGTCATTGTTATTTTAGTAGGCCTGGCCTGGTGCGAACCCACCAACCTGGGTGTATGTAGCCGGCACCCTACCCACTGAGCTACAGGCACCGCCCTTCCAAGTTTCCTTTTATCTAACAGAAAAGAATAGTTAACAGTGAAAACAGACATCCAGGATATACTAAGCATGAATCAAAGCAAGATAAAAAGCAGTAGTACAATAGGATCTCCTATTTTTATTCGAGATAAGGACAGAAAAAGTCTGAATAATATATACAACATCAATAGTTTTTTAAACTACATGATTTTTCTTTTTATTTACTTTTCTGTACTTTATTTTCTATTTTCCAAGGACATTTCTAGAATATTCTAGAAGGCAATATACTAATTAGAATATTTCACATTGCCAGCTTGGTGCCCATAACACAGTGGTTACAGTGCCAGCCACATGCACCAATGCTGGCAGATTCAAACCTGACCCAGGCCAGCTAAACAATGACAACGACAACAAAAAAAAATAGCCAAGCCTTGTGGCAGGCCTGTCTGTAGTCCCAGCTACTTGGGAGGCTGAGGCAAGAGAATCACTTAAGCCCAAGAGTTAGAGGTTGCTATGATGCCACAGCACTCTCTACCGAGGGCAACACAGTGAGACTATCTCCAACAAGAAGAAAACAATTTCACATATCTGAACTATATTGACAATGATCTCTATAAAAGGGTAACATTTACAAAGATGCTGAGGTAAAATTCCCAAGAAAAAAGAATTTTTTTTTTTTTTTTT